TATGAATATGAATATGAATATGAATAGAAATATGAATATGAATATGAACATGATTGTGAATATGAACATGATTGTGAATATGAATATGAATCAAAATGTGAATATTATTGTTTTTCTTTCTCAATTTCTCAACAGATATAAATTGCACTCAGCCCGCCATTGATGATTTCCCCAGAGATCTATTCACGGAGGCGCAAAGACAGTCCGGTGCTGTTGTACTTCATGTTATAGCCAGTTTATATTTATTTGTAGCATTAGCAGTAGTATGTGATGAGTACTTTGTGCCAGCTGTTGAGAAAATATGTGCAGGTAGGCTCCATAGATACCGCATAATCGCAAATCATTTGCCGACTTGTGTATTACGCCTCGAACAGCACTCAATATGTCCAACGATGTGGCGGGCGCCACGTTTATGGCTGCGGCCACATCCGCGCCGGAGCTCTTTGTCAATGTGATAGGCACATTCATCACGGAGGGCGACATCGGTGTCGGCACCATTGTGGGCTCGGCGGTGTTCAACATACTCGCTGTGGCCGCCTGTTGCGGCATCGGAGCTGGCATGGTAAGATTTGCCCGTTTAGCGCATAAATCCCATTTTATCTAGAACTGAATCCATATAATCTTGCAGACAATACCGCTGGACTGGTGGCCACTGACGCGGGATAGCATCGCCTACGGCGTGACAGTCGCCATACTCATCTGTGTCATGCACGACGAGCGCGTCGAATGGTATGAGGCACTCATTTTGGTATCGCTCTATGCGGTCTATTTGGCGGTCATGTATTTCGACAAGTCCTTTCAAAAGTGCGCCAAGGGTGAGTTCATCAGTTGCCACACCAACTTCTCAATAAGCCAAAATACACTTAAGACAATAGCGGAGCAGAGAATATATTGACTCAATTCCTGAATACTTCGACTTTATTTTTCCTTCAGTCCCTCATTTAAGTACGCGTTGCAAAATTCTTGGAACATTTCATTTAACATTTTTTATTAGTCTTAATTATAGCTTCAATTTGTTCAATGTGTAAAAAGTCTAGAGTTTTTCATAACAAGCTTTGGCAAGCAAGTTAGATCTTCTAGATTTCTTCTTCATTAAAGGACATTTTTTTAGTTAAAACCTTGCCACATTCGGTTCATATACGTATCGCCTACGTTTCGCTCATTTATTGTTTGATTATTTATTTATTTTATCACCGATATTTTCTTCGTTACATAAAGCCAGTAAATCTTTTGGTTAACATAATCTCAAAAAATGCGCTCCAATTAACATAAACATTAACATCCATTGTATTTAACGCTGCAGCGTTGCCACCTTGCAATGTTTTATACATCTGGCAACGCCAATGTGGGCTATACGTTATGATATTACGTACAATGATCATTAAGTTGAAGCTTTAAGGTAAGAGGGAGATAGAGAGAGAGAAAGAAAGAGAGATTGAGAGAGAGAGAGAAAAAAAGAGAGAGAGAGAAAGAGAAACACGCACACACACACACGACATACACAGATACACAAGCACATACTCACACACATAGACACACACACTCAACGAGCGCATAAACAAGTACCAACTCTCACACACAGGTGGCGTTAAGCAGGCGCGTTCGCGCAGCCGCTCCTCCAACTGCAGCATACACACAAAGAACAGCAATGAGAAGGAACCAGGTACACAGCAACAGTCCAAACGAAAGATCCCGCATTGGGCAGCCTCCATTCGAGGGTAACTCAAATCTTTGTTCTCACTTTCGCAGAGCTTGTGGAGAATCGCATTTGCCAGAACATGGCCAGCATTCAGCTGAATGGCGGCCTCAACAATGATCAGGCCAAGGCCAGCAATACGACAACAACAACAACAGCGGGTCTTGGCGGTGGTGGCGTTGGCGGCGGCGGCGGTGGTGGTGGTGGTGGTGGTGGTGGTGGTGGTGGTGGAGCTGCAGCTGCGGGTGGTGGAGCTGGAGGTGCTGCTGTCGGCGCAATCGCGCCCATCGCCATCGTGGACAATGCGGATGCGGAGGCACAGCTGGCGGCAGTTGCTGCTGCTGCTGCAGCGGCCGCGGCGGCGGCGGCGGCAGCTACGGCCGTGGAGGAGCCGGAACAGGAGGGCTATTCCCTGTTGACATATCCGAAGGGCACCAGCTGCTTTGCCCAGTTCACCTGGTTGATTATCTGGCCAATTCATTTGCTCTTCCGCATCGCGATACCCGATTGCAAAAAGGCCAAAAATAATAAAATCTTTCCGCTGACCTTTATCATGTGCATTGTCTGGATTGGATCGCTGTCGTACGTTGTGGCGTGGATGATAACCATAATTGGTGAGTTCACAACAACTGATAATATTCATATCATGAATTTCATGGCATAAACGAAGTTTATGTTGATCTAAATCTACAAATACTTTTCGCGAACATATAAGTTCAATGTAACTACAAAAATCTATAAAATTTTTTTTATAAAAATGTGTTCATTTGAATCAACAATATCTATGTTCAATATGTAGTATTGAAGCCATGAAGTTCATGACTTACTTATCGTATACACAATGTGATTACAACAATTAATTGATCATGCCACAAACTAAGCTTAAGACGCACGTGCTTGGCTTATTTATAGCTACTTGTCTCAGCAATTGTTTAGTCTGCTATATTGATTTCATGAATTTCATGGCATAAACGAATTTTGTCTTAATTGAAATCGACAATAATTTAATTCATCTATCTAGCTATCCATCTATCTAGTTCAAGATAGTTCTAAAGCGCAGCCAACTTAACATGGCTTTTTTACAGCTAATTATCTCAGCAACTATATAGTTTGCAATATTGATTTCATGAATTTCATGGCATAAACGAATTCTTACTTAATTTAGATAGAACAGTATCTATCGAAATTTCATGGCATAAACGTGATTAATAAATAAAAAAAAAATCTTAGCTTAATGTCAATTCGGGCAGCATTTATTTGTTATTTATTTAGCGAATTGATAAACGTATTCATATATGTATATATATAAATATATTGTTTTTTACCAGGCGATACACTTAAGATACCCGATTCGGTGATGGGCATTACGTTTCTGGCCGCCGGCACCAGTGTACCCGAGGCAGTGTCCAGCGTGATTGTGGCCAAGCGCGGTGAGTTTTGGATGAGAGCCTTGGTCTAAGCGAAGGCGCCGCCTAGTTTTGGATGATGATGTGTTGTATATTGGATATTTTTTTTCCCCGTTTTCTTTCTTTTTTGGTTTTTGTGCTCTATTTTGTGCAGGTCATGGCTCGATGGGTATTTGCAATTCGATTGGCTCGAACACGTTCGATATATTGCTATGCCTGGGCGTGCCCTGGCTAATAAAGGCGGTCTTCTTTCCGATACAGCCGGGCCAGAATTATGTGGCCATCAATTCGGCCGGCTTGGAATATTCGGCCATAACACTGCTGTCCACGCTGTTTCTGCTCTATCTGACATTCTCGATGAACAAGTTCAAGCTGGATACAAAGGTGGGCATCGCCTGCCTGGTCATCTATTTGGTATTTATGGTATTTGCCTCGCTCATCGAGCTCAATGTGTTCTTTCGCGTCAATCTGCCAACCTGCGGACGATCATGAGCTGCTGCTCGAGCTAGGGCTGGAGCAGGAGCAGGAGCTGGGGCTGGAGCTGGAGCTGGAACTGGTATTGCAATTGGAACTGGCACTGGAAGCTGGAAACTGGAAACTGGGAGCTGGATCAAATGGCGGCCTACTTGGTCGCAAATTGCAGTCGTTTTAATTAATTAATATGTATTTCCTGTTCTATTCTATCTACCTTGATAGTTGAGTTACCTTATGCTATTACGTTATGCTGTTATTGTAATACTTTTTTTTTTTTATTATTACTATTATTATTATTAAAGTAGAGGAAACTCTTCACGACATTCCGCCGCCGCGATCACAGTCGCCGTCGCAGTCGCAGTCGCAGTGATCACGTCAAGTGAAATGAAATGAGAAGAAGAAAAAAAAAAAACAGAACCAAAAATCCAAAAACCAAACAACAAATTCAATAATGTATTTATACGATTAATATATGAGATTTAACAAAGAAATCGTCAATTTTCTTTTAAACGCAAATCCTAACTCTTAAAAGTTTTAAGAAATAATTGTAATTATTTCCTGGTTCATTTTGAGCTCACGTTCTTGAGAGACTTCAGCGTGAACAAGAAGAATCTCTTCTTGTATTTTTATTTTTGTGCTTGGAGTGATTTTTGAATAGTACGTCAATGAATGACACTTTCTGAAAGCCTGGCGGAAGATAAGATAACCCAGAGCCGAGAAAACCTATTTCCAACCGATTGTTCCAATGCAGCTATATGATATAGTCCACCAATATGAAAAAGATCTGGTATCTAAGAAGCTTAGTCAATTTCATGAATGTTTAGTTTGATCAGAACTTAATAACCAAAAGAGTTCTTCGTAAATAAACATAATCTTCGACCTATATATAAGGTACTTCTGCGATTTTACAGAAGGCAAGATTAAATGTTTGTTAATCAGAAACTCGTTAAAAGACGTCACAAAATGTATTCCATTGCACACTGACAATTAGCTGTCATTTACGATAAAAGGAAAAGTTATTTTTTTGGTTGATAAGAAAAAAAAAGAACCTGTTTTTTTTTTTTTTGATTTTGTAAAACCCTTTCCATGAAATGTCCACATATAATCTTGATTAAATTAAAGAGCTAGACAAGAGGTCAAGACTCTTGATGAAAATATAATTAATTTCCATTGGTTACAGTGCCAACAGACTGACTGCAAGCCGGTTCGAACCCGGAAGGGCAAAATGTGCAACTTATGTGTGTCTGAGCTGGGCGAAAAGTACAACAATCATTTTGTTATAACGCGCATTTTCGAAAGCCGGGCAACGCAGGGTAATTTCTGGTAGTCAATTCAAAAATATGCTGAAACAGAAGTGCGTCTATTATTTTTGCCACTTGTTATATATTCACATGCACAGATCTAGTAGTAATCGAGTATATAGAAGGCTGTCATAAATTCAGAAGTTAGTATATAACACAAAAAAAAAAGAAGAAACCGGCTCAACAGTTAACGTTCTTGTTCTTTTAACAATTATCTTCGTCAAATTCTAAATGCATTTCAACTTTGATATGGCCTTGAGCAGACTGATGGACGAGGAATACGGTAAGCGGAGCCAAATTGAACAGATATAAGATATATATATATATATATCAAATAATTGATATCCGTAAAACAGATCCATTTTTGCTGCGCGCCGCAGGAAAATCCGAATTGAACTGCTCTATTCCGTCGATCCTTGAGTTTCCAAATTTTATGCGCAAAAAGAGTATCATCTATACGGTTGTCTGTGTGCTTCTCAGTTTATATTTGTTTATAATGCTGGCAATTGTCTGCGATGATTATTTGGTGCCAGCTATGGAGCGCTTGTGCTATTGTAGGTATTTCAGCCTTGGGGCCGTCCAGCCCCTATAATTCACTCACAGTCTGGACCACTCTTAAGCATTTGTATGATCTATGCAGCGTTACGTATGTCCTATGATGTGGCTGGAGCTACGTTTCTGGCCGCTTCTACATCAGCTCCAGAGCTTTTTGTTGCCTTCGTTGGCACGTTCATCACGAAAGGTGATATTGGTATTGGCACTATTGTTGGATCATCTGTGTTTAATGTACTTGGCATTGGTGCTGTTTGCGGCATATGCACGGGCGTGGTGAGTTCCATATACATATGTATTCAATCTGAGTATAAGTATTCATTATATTATCTATCTTTAAACTTAAGCTATAATTCTTACCAAGCCATAGGGTACAGTAATCCGATTTGAACATTTTTAAAATTATTCTTGTATGTAAGCAATTAGGTTGAGGTCGACAGGCTGTTAGCCCAAAGAGTTTCATGGTAAATTTAACAAAACAGTTTGTCAGTCAATCAAACGGTCAGTCAATCACTTAATTAGTCGTAAAGTCATCAGTCAGTGGGCAAGTCAATTAGTTGGTCTGTTAATCAGTTGGTTACTCAGTCAGTGAGTCAATCAATCAGTCGCTGAGCCTGCCAGTCGGTCAGTCAATCAGTCAGTCAGTCAGTCAGTCAATCAGTCGGTAAGTCAATCATTTCGTCTGTTAATCAGTTTGTCTGTTAATCCGTCGGTCAGTCAATAAATTGGTCAGTCCATCAGTCAATCAGTTCGTCAGTCACTCAATTAATTAAACGGTCGGTCTTAAGTCATTGGTATCGGTCAGTCAATCAGTCGCTTAGTCAATCAGTCACTCCAGTAGGTCAATCAATCAGTCAGTTCAATCAATCAGTCAGTTCAGTCATTCAGTCAGTCAATCAGTACGTCAATAAATTAGGCGGTTAGGCGGTCAGTCGATTAATAAGTTGGTCAGTCAGTTAGATGGTCAGTCAATCAATCGGTCAGTTAATCACGCAGTCAATCTATCAGTCATAAGTTTATAATTTTTGTGTACCAAAAAAGAGAGGAGCTTTCAGAAATTGATATCAGATGCTTGCTGATTGAAAATAATAGATTTAAGAAACCCTCTCAAGAGCTGAGAACTCAAAAACTGTGTACATTTTTAGCTATATATATAATATTTTGATAACCTAATATTTGTAGTCATCCAAATTGGACTGGTGGCCTATAACTAGAGATACAATATGGTATTTAATATCAATATGTGCGCTCCTTTATGTACTATACGATTCCGCAGTGAATGTTTGGGAGGCAGTGGGTCTAGTTGTCTTGTATGCCATTTATCTCATCGGACTGATATTTGATCGGAAGATACAGAGTATATGTCGAAGTAAATTCTTTAACTGAATTTGGAAATGATGATAGGCTTGAACTTATTGTGAAATAAATCCATTTACAGCTGTCGACAATGATCGCGATATGATTGACGAGAATCCATTGGAGCGGGAGGAAGAGCCCCTGAAATCATTTAAGGAGACCGTGTGTGGGCACCCAGAGAAGGAAGATAGTGTTTGGAGGAAAATATGGTGGGGTATCAAATACCCAGCCGTTATATTGCTGGCCATAACCACGCCCAGCGCACGCTCCATATTCTTCTTAAGCATGCTGTTGGCCGTGATTTGGATCAGCATTATATCGTACTTTGTTACTTGGTTTCTCACCGTAGTTGGCTACAACATTGGTATACCTGATTCTATCATGGGTCTCACGATACTGGCAGTTGGTACCAGTGTGCCGGAGATTGTGGCCTCATTCATTGTGGCCAAAAAAGGTGCGTGCCCAATTCCATTCCCATTAAATTAACAAAAACCAAGTATTAGACTTACATTTTATAAGCAAACCCTACAAAACATATCTAACATGCTTAACATTTGCCCATGTTCCAGCTGCAACAAGGCGTTGCCAGCTTAATTTCGTCGCGTTGCCACTATGCTGCAACATTTCGAAATGCAATGAACCTTGGTTCATTGTAAATTTTGACATTCAAATGAAAAACGTCTACAACATCTACAACATATCCTGTTAAATCTAACATGTGGATATACTTAGCATTTGCGCATGCTCCGTCTATTAATTATTTAACATACACATATCTTAAGTTCTCCCTCAAAATGTATGCCAAAGCGTTGCCAGCTTAATTTCGTCGCGTTGCCACTATGCTGCAACATTTCGAAATGCAATGAACCTTGGTTCATTGTAAATTTTAACATAAGAAACTTTTTTGTACTAGCAGATTCTATTGTAAATTTCATTCAATTGTTAACCTTTTTTTTAATCGAATTGTTCTATTGAAATTTGATTGCTTCATCATCTGATTATTGCTGTTAATTTCTTTTTTAGGCTACGGCTCCATGGCCATGTGCAATGCCATTGGATCAAATACTTTTGACATTTTCATATGCCTTGGCCTACCTTGGTTCGTTGCTGCTCTTATTTTCTCCGATACTATTAAAGTGCACTCCTCTGGATTAACAATAACTACTGGAATGCTGGTTGGAACAGCGCTTGTCTTATTTATCTCCTTTTTAATTACGAAGTTTGTACTTGGAAAGGTGGTCGGCTGGATTAGCCTCATCGCATACATTCTCTTCTTGGCAGCTGCCATCTATTTCGAAATCAGACTGCTCAAGAAAGAGTGTGATATCGAATCCCCTAAGTATGCATATCTGAACAAGGAGGCTGCAAATTAACAGTTGTGTAAATTAACTTAATTGAGTAAAACAGAATTTTAACTCTCCCAATTTTTTGTTCTGGTTTTTCTTAATTCTTAAATCATCAATCAATCAGTCACTCAATCAGTGTGGCCAAACAGTTTTAAGGTATGTATTAATCATCAATCAATCAGTCAGTCAATCAGTCAGGTTAAGCAGTTCTAAGGTTTGCATTGATCACCAATCAATCAGTCAGTCAATCAGTCAGGTTAAGGTTTTAAGGTTTGTATTGTTCACCAATCAATCAGTCAGTCAATCAGTGTAGCCAAACAGTTTTAAGGTTTGTATTAATCATCAATCAATCAGTCAGTCAATCAGTCAGGTTAAGCAGTTTTAAGGCTTGCATTGATCACCAATCAATCAGTTAGTCAATCAGTTTTAAGGTTTTGGGCCTTTTGTATTGATCGCGAATCCATCAGTCAGAAATATTATTATTCTAATTCATGTTCGTATTGCTTTCTTCTTTTTAAATATGAACCTAATTGAATTGTGCGCACTGTTCGCCATATTGTAATACAGATTGATGCATCTATCTTGATATCAGCATGTGCTGGTGTGTGTAGCAGACAATCGCAATCGATGACGTCAATAAGAGGTGGTTTTGCGATATCAGGACAGCTACTCGAATTGTCATTGTCATTGCAAATACATATGAAGATAAGTGCCAATGTGTGTGTGTGTGTGTGTATATAATTTATATTATTGATAAGCATTTCGTACGCACCATTTGAAAATCAGAACAGATATAGATACTCCAAGCTATAGTACACACATATCAGATATAGATGGAAATATTTGGAATGTGCATGTCACAAAAGGGTTCCGTTTTAGATTTCAAACTGAAGCAGCTCTCGTTATATGTGTATAATAGGAAGATAACAATACGAATACAGTTCAACTATGTATGTTCGTTTGTGTCTATAATTCGCAAGTGGTTAACGCATTAGCGTGTCCAAGTTGATGGCATTTATTCAAATTGCTTCAAAAATCAGATGTCTATCTTCAGAATGCAAAAAGACTTGCTTGAAATATTACTCTTAATATATTTTATTTCTCAAACATATTTTGAGTGCCAGCGCTTGTTTAATTTCCATTATCGATAACTTACCGCGTTGCCAAGCAATCGATAAAAATCGATATCGAAATCATGTTTCTTGAGCTAATCTCTCAGGTCTTTAGGTCAAGTTCTTGAAACGAACTTCTGTTTGGGGGTTTGGAATATGTTCAAGTGTTGCGCGCGCTCCTAATCAATGGTCAACACGATTTGGCAAATCGGTCGATAAGGACTAAGGCAACGGCAGTTTATGGGGAAACTCGTGACCATAAGCGTTAATTGAAAATTTTGTGTGGGTGCTGGTTCGACGCTAAGTCGCCTGAAGTGTGCGCTAATCTTGATGAGAGCCCATCTACAATGTCAGCTTTGAGTATTTCTTTTATTTTATTTTTTTTGTTTGTTTGTTCCTCTGCCACTGATAATCGCTGTACAAGAATGGAAACAAAATGGTAGGCCAAAGGCTGATTAAACCAATTCCAATCTTATAATATAATCTTAAAATATCATATAATTAAAATATGACCACATCAGCAAAACCGAACAAAGCCGGTTTCCTTGGATAAGATCAATCTTAACTTTAATTGCCGCCGACTCTAAATGAATTTTGATTATGTGTGGGTGGCCTTTTATGAGCCCATCTTATCGGACTGATCCAACCAATGACGTGTTGCTTTATTTAAAGCTTCGGGCTAGGGGCCTGATAGAGTATCGACCATAAATTAGCATCCAGTGTCAATTCGGGCATAAATCTGTAAACTTATAATTGAACCGAAGCAATATAAGATTGTTAAAAATGTTTTTGCAACTTTTTTGATTTGGTTTCTTCATTTATAGATCTTGAGATTAGAAAAGAAATTGTGGCGCGATTCCCAGAAATTTATAATGATTTATGGCTTCATCAATGAAACCAGGGAATCCAAGTGTTAGGATTTGTTGCTAGAATATCTTATAATATCTGTTCAACTTTCCATAGAATCTTTACAAAATACGACTGTCATCTGGATGGAAGTCTACGAACTCTTGGCACTGCAAATAAAATCTTCCACCGCAAGATAAGAATTCCTGTTCATCTCTCGTTGTTAGAGTCTTAGTTTAATCATATAAAAGCATCAGGTAACATATATTATATAGCATATACCATATATATATATAGCATTTCGTATATCATAGATCAATCTCTCACGCATTAAAGATCTATTATATAATATATATGTCAATAGCATTAAAAAGAGGAAATATTTGATAGACATATCTTTCGATTTTCAGACATCTACTAAATTGTCGGGATCATGGACTTGATCATATACCATATATCCCGGATCTATATGATCTGTATCTATATATTTACGCTTCCTACATGCTTCTCTTTCACACTCAATTTCTATGTTAATTTCTAATATAATTATCTTTGATAGTCATATCTTTCGGCTTGCCAATATAACATATATATCATAGACCTTATATAGTGCCTCATAGATCGATATATATATTATATATACAGCCTCTCTATCACACTCGAGTTTTTTTGTAAAGTATAACTTTGACATAAAAAAGTGCTGAAAATGAATATTGAAATCCTTGATAGACATATCTCTCGGCCTGCAGACATCTACTAAATTGTGGGGATCAAGGCATTGATTGCCAGTTAAGTCTGGCACTTAAACTGTCTGTCAGTGTTATATGCCCATGTTTTCTACAGCTCTCGGGGGCTTATAATTCTTATGTTCTTTAACCAATATTGATATATGGCATGGCATAAAGGCGACTACGCCATTGTTTCGAAAGACATGACGTCGCAACGCGTGCGATTTGTGAATGACGTCCATATTGAAAGACGACAGCAAATTTGGAAATCGAAAGAGTTTATTATGGACACACAAACAAAAAGTACAATATTAATCAATGAGCAGAAGAAGCGTGCTGATTTGATTGTCCGCCAATCTCTCAGATATGACAAATATATATATATTAATAAACGCATTCCATACAATGATGTGTATACAAGTTATTACGTATTTTGTCGTCATGTTGGTAACCATAACGATTTACCTCATAGTCTGTGAGGCGTATGCTCTGTAGCTATTTGATATTTGTTTTTACATAATATTTACAGTTTGCATACCAAATTTCAAGAGGCTGGCTCACAAAGATCCTGAGATCTTACAACGAACCGCTTATAACTCCCATTCCCAATCTAAAGTCGCATCCATCAGTAAGACAAAACTGGACAGGGCATTAACTAGTTAATCATACTGTGAACAAAATTGAACCTTATTATCAGTAAAAAAATAAACCTATCAAAAGCAAACTCGTGATTAAGAAGCTTTTATGAAAAACAAAAAAAATCAATTGTAAGATTTGCGTTAACACAAAATAGCTTCATCCCTAAATGACTCATAGAGACAATTCACTAAAGATTTTCGAAAAACCCCCTGATGTGACAAATTTAATGCTGCATTTATCTTGGGTATGATATGAGAAATAGGGTGTACCACAGGGAATATTGATGGGTTTTCAAAAAGTGAAGCCAGTTGGACAAGTGAAAGAAGCTGTACTTTATTGTGGAAACGATGGGAAGTTATTCAGAAATCGATTGGGAGTTATTCAGAAGTCTTATTTGTATTTGATAACATGATAAAGATAAAGAAATGATTGCATCAAAAAAAAAAAGCGGAAAGTTTTACCTCAGAAAATCCCAATTTTCAACTGATTCCTACTTGAGTATAGAGAGCTATATGAGCATAGAGATACATAAGTATTAAAGGAGCTATTCCAGCTAAACTGGTTAGATGGAACAAGTGGTTCCTTTAAGAAGGCTATGGCGATGGTTCCACAAAAGAGTGTATGCAGTTCGCCTGGAACTAGTTCCGGATATTCGACTCGTGCCTGCAAAACCTTGTTTGCGTAGTGTCAAGAGGCGCCTAACGTAATTTCAGCTAATATAAAAAACTGTTGACTTAGTGATTCCCGGAAAATGTTGTCTAGAAATGGGTAAAACCTTTTTTGAATGGGTTAATGTTCATGTTGCGTTCGATCAGCTTGAAAATCTTGTGGAAAACGAAACAGGCAAACCTGATGGAAGCGACTTTCATCTGAGTGTTACATACGTTTTCATAAAGTCAGTATACCCTTCTTAAGACATACCCTGCATAAGATAATGATTAAAGATGTTGACAAAATCAGTTAATGCCCGCTAAGATCTACATATTGGGGCAAGTCTCATGCACTTCAAGTTTTTTAAGGGTTGGATTATAATTTGCAGCTATTTAACAGATATAGGCTATTTACTATATAAATATCAAATATTATAAATACTTGGGGCTTGTCTTTGGCCAATTACGTATATTACAAACATGTGCATGTGCATTCTTTTGAATGAAAGCAAAAATAGTTAATCCCCCATCAAGCTGGATGGAAATAGTTAAGTATGTATGCGCATGCTGAGACAACAGTTTTGATCGGCGTTCGGTGATCAGTGATCAGTGATCAGTGATCGTTGCCAATTGCTAAATCGAGAGTGTTACGAATGGTAAAAGCACAGCTGAACTTTGCCCAAGCACAGGGAAGTACTCAAATCAAACACTCAAAAACAATTAATGGAAAATTGCTTGACGCGTTCCGATGTCGCTGATCACAATTGGCAAAACTGTTGATCAGGATCGCTAAATGCCCATATCAACTATTCATATATGCATATACGAAAGTGAAATGCTCAGATCTGTCAGGCGAGCACTGCGAGAACAGTGCTCACTGATCACTGATCAGTGATCAGTCTGTCCAGCACGTGAGCCCTATAAATAGCTCCGAATGGTACAAAGTTTCCAGTTAAGCATGAAAATACCCAAACTGTTTCAATTGCTAGCATTACAACACACACACACACACACACACACATGCACACACACACATGCGCACACACTCGCGCAGCTCGCATACAAATGAGCTTGAGCTGCCGGCTGTAGATTGATAAACTGTCGCTGCAATTGTTGTTTTCCTTTGCTCTTATCAGAACGGTAACTTCTATATTAATGAGTACACGTTACAAGCTCTGCTCTCAGCGTGCATGTGTATATGTGTGTAGATGTGTGTGCGTGTGTGTGTAATTGAGTGCAGCAGCTGAAAGCTGTTGCGATTGATCGACTAGCGGCTGCCCTGTAAAACAAAATGACTTGCTATAACAAGCTGAAAACTAAACCAATTGTTGCGTACAAAATATCTTCGAATATATAATTCATATTCACATATTCAAGTCAAAGAAGTATTTATGCTCCATTTTAAAAAATTGAATATCTTTTTTGTGCTCGGGCGATTAACTTGATGTGCCTGGCAAATGTAATCTGTGAAATGTGCTCAAATCGATAGTTATCGATTTTGGGCAAACTATACAATAAACTTGAACTGTGTATGCTATACAAGCATCTTAAGGCTGTTCATACGATTCTAGTCAATAAAGGTTGTGAGCTATGCTTAAGAATGTGAAATCGATATTTATCGATTTGGATGTTAGTTTAAATAGCCTGAAGTGAGCTCTAATGCAGAAACTGTAAGTCGATATTTATCGATTTGAGCTAAGCATAATCTGATGTGAATTAGATGTGCTTATTTTATATCTGGTGTGCCCAGCTCTAATATACTTCGAGACCTGTTTAACATAGCGTAAGCTGTAAATCGATTATTATCGATTTGCATAGAACTAGCTAAGTATTAACTGAAGTGAACTTCAACTGGCGTGCCTAGCCGGTATATATTTTACAACTCAAAATAGGTCAATCAATAATTATCGATTTGCATATAATCGGAATTGTTATCGATAAACCGATAGAATAGATCAATTGTTGTTCGAGTCTAGCTTTAATGGTTTTATAGCCAAAACAGGCGAACTTTTGACTGATAACTTGAATATACCCTATGTAAGTCTATTAATACAGGGTATCAACGAACATAAGAACGACTAGACCAATGCGACAATGCGATACCAAAAAGAAGCGGCACACACACCGCTGCACACCTGCGCATCGCACACACGCACAAAAAAGTCGAAAATCAAAAAGTCGAAAATCAAAAATCGAAAATCAAAAACAACAAAAAAAAAAAAAACACTGAAAGCGAAAACGAAAATGTTGTCAAGTGTTCGGACTTGACTGCACGCCAAGCAGAGATAAACTCTTTTTTTTTTCCATACAGAGAAGCATTGCCAATGGCGCTGGCAGCGACGTCGACGCCAGCGGCGACGGCGGCAGCGACGCGAACGTCGCTGTTTATTATTAAGACGCGCGCGCGCTGGTCGCACTTAATTAGTTGTGCGATACAATTCTAGCCAAGCGGTTGACGCAGCAGCAGCAGCAGCAGCAGCAGCGACTGCACTCGAGAAAAACTCTGAGAAACAAGAAAAACGCCGAAAACAAAAAAAAAAAATAAAACAAACAAATATATTCATAAACTATTCAAATTTAAATGTAGGCAGCTGCACGACGCATTCCCAAAAAACAAAAACAACGAACAAATTCGAAATCGAAAACGAAACCGCAACCGAAAACGAGTTACGTCGCGTTGCGCATACGCCGTGTGTGAAGCATCGTACAAGAGTTCAGAGAAATTTTCAACAAAAAAACAAAAAAATAAATAAATATATAAAATACGCGCATTGAAAATAACTGAACATTTTCATAGGCGCACGTGTGGCACGTGTTGCCTGCCTTTTTTTTATCATATTTATAATATTCCAAATTTTTCCATTTTTTCACACGAGTTTTTCAAACAAGTTTTTGCTCAAGTTTCGATATTGTTGTATGTGCTTGTTATTTATTTTGTTTTTTTTTTTTCTGAAAACGTTTTTGTATCATGTTGAAAAACGCGCGCCTTTTGCTTGGCGTTTTCATATTGTCTGCCAGCCTCATAACGGATACACAAGCCACAGGTGAGTAAATAGTTAAAAACAAAAACAAAAACAAAAAAAAACAATAAGAACAAAATAATTGTAAGAAATATGCGTAGGGAAATTCCGTTTATGGCAAGTGCCAAGGAATCCCCGAAATACTCAATGAATGTGCCTGGCATACGCAGCATTTGATGAAGTGCACGCAAAGCCAGGCAAGATGGTTGGGCGCTGCCCGACTGGCAGATACCCTAAGCGCTGCGCCAAGCTGCCGTTGCAAGTGTAATATACTTATATATGAGAGGAGGAGTTCCGTTATGACTGGGCGCTGCCCGACTGGCAGATACCCTAAGCGCTGCCAATATTCCAACGCGCGACTTATTCTGCTTATTCCTCTTCTCCTCTTTCCTCTGCTTCCAAAAGCCGCACACTTTGCAGTCTTGTTTAACGGCGACTCGGTGCTTACAGTCCGATCTAACAGAGATTTTCACTGCTTCAATATGGCATAGAACAGCGCAAGGCTCTGCTCTTCAGATTTGAGGCATTTTTCCAATTGAACTTGGGGGAAAATAAAATGTAATAGTTTATAAATTTGTGGTTACCATGCGGAAGTCTTCATATAGACTGATATTCTAATAACTTTTGATGAAAACGGCAGCAAATGTCGAAAAATGTTATTATAATAACTTTTGATTTATGATTAACATCAATATTGGTTGAATTATGAAACATATGAGGAAATGTGTGAAGAATGTTATTAGAAAATGATCGTATAGGCATATTTTTGGGCAAAGAATTGCATTTCGCGAACTTTAGTAGTTCCCGATATCGACGCTTTGCCATAGACAGACAGACAGACGGACGGGCGGGCGGGAGGACGGACGGACTAGATTGACTCAGCTCATCGTCCTAATCAAAAGTCTATGTATATTCTTGATGGGCTCTTAAGTGCTGCCTATTAAGACGGATGACTCATAGATCAAATATATACTGTTATCTCTATTGTATATGTAACTTCTTTGGCATGTCAACTGAATTATTATTATTTAAATCTATATTTATATATATCGTGTGTGTTTTGAGATGTTTTATTGAGTGGCTTATTTGTTTATAAAAACTGACAAATAATAAACATGTCTGTAAAAGTAGATCGATAAATTTCAACAAATTGGCATGTATTTATTTAATATTTTATGTGTATAATTAGATTGTGACTCTTTATATACCCTAAACCCATTAAAAATGGGTATAAGGGTATATTTTATTTGTGTATGTAACAGGCGGAAGGAAGCATCTCCGACCCCATAAAGTATATATATTCTTGATTAGCACCAAGTCTGTCTGTCTGTCCGTCTGTCCGTCTATCCGCAAGGATCTCAGAACCTATAAGAGCTAGAGACTTGAAATTTTAGGTGCTCCGACTGCCTGCGCAGATCGAGTTTGCTTCCGATAATCGATAACTTACTCCGTTTCCAAGCAATCGATAAAAATCGATATCGATATCCTGTTTTTTTTTTTGGCAATTTTGGTAAATAATAAGAGTCACCAGACTTGACATATAGCTTCTCAAATGGAATATATATATATAAAATATATATGCATTTGATGTTGGAAGAAGAGGGTTCAGGGTATCCGCTAGTCGGGAGCTCCCGACTAGAACCTCTTACTTGTTTTTATTTTGACAGTTTCCATAAATTAGAAGCTGAAGCAATCGAGAGCTTGCAATTACGCTGTCTTCTACTCTAGAAATAGTCAGGTTTTGAGTAAATGCTTTTCGAACTTTGTTTAACTGAGGCGCAACATAAAAGCCAAATAAATCAAATAAATTATTGCAACTTTTTATTGTATTTTAATTATACAACTTACATTTTTCCAATTTTCAAAGAGTTTTTGAGCCCATAAATTGACTCGTACATTGCTTAAGAGTTCGAATTGACGATAAGTTGAACGATTCGTTCGCTCAATTGAACTAGTTCCTGTTTTAAATATCATAGATATTGGATATTCTGAAACTCTATGTCAAAATACTAAAAAATATTAACATAATGTGAAAATCTTGTACCATGAAATAAACTGGCTCTTAATTCACAATTCAGGTCAGTTTATAGAAACATAGATAGGAAGTGGTATTTGTTTAATACCAAATCAAAATACTAGAATATATTTACATGCATTTGAAATATTTGTATATTATATTAGAGTAAATTGTTGATAAATTTAAAAACGAGTTGTTCAAATGAACTGGTTCATGGTTCACATTTCAGGCTAGTATGTATATAGATAGATACATAGATAGGTGCAAAATATAAGTATTTTATTAATACCAACTCAAAATACTAGAAAATAAAATACCAAAATCCTGTTTGTCGCAGTCTTTGGAATTGTGAAAAGGACAATATTAATTTTATAAGTTATGTATATTATTAATTTATATACGATAACATAATGTTATATGACTGCTTAAATTGTTCGATTTCAAAGAAAAATGTACGGCAAATATATTAATAAATATATATCACGTTTGAAGGCCAACGTATTTGTAATTCTCTGCAATAAATTTGCCGGCTTATTTAATCGAAATCATGCCCAAAAACAGAGCAAAAGACAGCTGTTTGAAAGAACAAATAGAAATAAATTATAACAATATAATAAAAGAAATGCAGCATTTAAATCATGGAAATAAATCAAAATTTTAACGGTTTACAGGTGTTGTCGCATGAGCACAGGGCATGGGCGGAGGGGCGGAGGGGGGAGGGTGTGGCTATCAGTGGCAGCTGCTTTGATAACAAATAAAACTTGCCAAGATTGAACGATTGAAAGATTGATTGAAAGTGCACGTGTATAGCCAACAATACAAACATACATATATATATATCTAGTTAGAGTCGAATGGGGGCGTGGTCTTTACATCCTGATATATATATATAAGGGCCAGGTGAACTGCTGGGAATCGTGTCAGCTGGGGCGAACATTGATGTAGCATCTGTGATCTATAATCGTCAGCCGATAATGAATTCCAGCTCCAAATTGATTTATCAGCATGCCCAAAAAATAATATATATACATATATATATATTTATATATATATATCTATAAGCCATCTGATTGTGTGCTGGAAGCAAATGTCATGCGATTGATTGATGCGATTATCTGACAGCTGTTTATAGCTGATAAAAAAAAAAAAACAAAAAACAAAAAGCCCAACAACAACAAAATGTCCAAATCCAATTTCCAATTTCAGTTTTCGGTGAATAGCGCTTTTCGAGTGCCTGCACTAAAGACTCCAGAGCAAGAAGTCTGAACCCGAACACCTTTGATACCACGATTTATCATTGATCTGTGCACGATAGAGGGAAGAGCAAGATTATTATGGAATATAGTTAAGTAGTTGGGAACCAAAGAAAAATCCAGAAGGAAAAGAAGGGGGTTCGTCAAATGAAACCCTGCCTTCAAATACCATTCCATAGCTCTAGGCCTAGATCTGGGTTCCAGCCTGGCTTTGTCCATATATCTAGAACATTTAAATGATACAGTGAAAATATTGCAAGTCTTAGATATTTTCATAGGAAATTGCGGACTACGTTTTATATCTAATCAAAATTGGCGCCCTCAAAAGATATTTAAAAACTAGTAAGAGGTTCTAGTCGGGAGCTCCCGACTACGGGATACCCTTAACCCTCTTTCTTCCAACATCAAATGCATATATATATTCTACTTTAGAATATGTCAAGTTTGGTGACTCTAGTTCTTATTATTTACCAAAACTGCCAAAAAAAACAGGATATCGATAACGATTTTTATTGATTGCTTGGAAACCGAGTAAGTTGTCGATTATCGGAAACAAACTCGATCTGCGCAGGCACTAGGAGCACCTAAACTTTCAAGTCTCTAGCTCTTATAGGTTCTGAGATCCTTGCGGACAGACAGGCAGACGGACATCTCTAGATCGACTCGGCTATTGGTGCTGACCAAGAATATATGTATATAATAATCAAATAAATAAACTCCGACTGTGAAAATTGAAATCATCTTCCCATGCTGAATAGGAAGATCAGAAAAGGAAGTTATTAAAAAAAAAGAGGGGCATCAATTCCATGTAGTGTTAGGAACAGAATAGTAAGATGTTCCAAAATAGAAGAAACTCTACGTAGAGTTAGGAACAGAGTAGAAAGATTTTAGAAAAATAGAAGCAGGTTCAATTCCATGTTGAGTTCCCATCCGGAAGATACGACTAAAGCGAGCCCATCCTTTAACAAAAATAACAATTAAAGTGTTCTAAAACAAACTGAAACAAATCTTAAAATTCTTAAAAAATTTATCACAACTGACGCATGTAAATTAGCCTAATACAAAAGATTAATTCTTGAAAAATATGCGAACTAGTTCTTTTTTGTGTTTGTTCAAAATACAAGAAGTCTCGTAAAACTAGCTCAAATTATTTAAATGATATGGTTTAAGAATAAATCGTATATTCATATAAATAATTAATCCGTCAAGCTAAAAAGATATAAAAGAATAATAGACAATTCAAAATCCACAAAGTTATAAGTTTCACTTCCAAGAAACAATTCTTTTTGCCAAATAATGATTGCCTTACCTTAGAAGGAGAAAAAAACAAAAAAAAAGAAAAAAAACAGATAGGATCGTGTTCCGAAAGTTGTATAGTATGTTATTTCTCCAGAATTGTATATGGTTATTAGGAGCGTAAACCGCTTAAGAGCACTCGTGCTGCAATCATCTAGTAGTTATTTTTATTTATTTATTTATTGTTTTTTTCTTGGCGTTGCCAACCATTCATAATTGTTGCGAATTTTTTGCCCGCACTCAGCATAAGCGAAGGTGATTCCCGATTCTTGATTCTATGGAACTGCGCTCCGGGGCAGCGACCCGGTGCTTTTATGGGATTTATTAGAAAACATTTGGTAATTCCATCTAATAACTTTTAGCTGGAAGCATGAAAAGGCATTTCTCCTCCACCCCCCCCCCCCCTTCCCCCTCCCCACCTTCCCTCCCCTACTCTAGAAACAATCTGTGGCGAAATA